GGAAAGACCAACATGATGATGCAAATGGATGTTGGCCACTAAAACTCCCCCAGGTAGAACGCCTCCAAGATGCAACAATCCAACACAACCAGGCACCAACACATCCGAGTAGCCCTCTACCCTGGATAACCCACGTGATCGGAAGTAGCAAGCGCGAGGCCTCCAGAGGTACCCCCACGCCCTGTAGGGATAGCAGAGAAGAGGTGGGCTCGTCGACCCTGTGCTCGTAGCGCAGCCTCCTGTGCGCAAGTCTCGACGATATGAGTTTCCTGAACAGCAAGAACGCCAGCCCGCTGGGAGTGAGGGGAGGAGAGGAAAATATCAAGCCCGGCACGATCCGTGACACTGCAGGTGATATATGTCCAGAAACGTAGGGGCCGTGCCCGAGACTCCTCACTCAGGCTAAAGATGCGACTTTGGTGGGTCGGTGGTACTGCAGCGCGCCTCCTTGGCACGCCCACTGGCTTCCTCAAGCGCGGCCTGAACAGCCTGCCGAGTGATGCCCCACTTGGCCTCAGAGGCGTCGTCAGTTTCATCGCCTCCTCTTGTGTCGTTGACGAGCTGGTCGATCCAGTCACCGTCGAGGTCGGAGAAGGAGAGGTCAGCCATCTTCGCGCTGTTGCCAGGCTTGAGGTTGATGACAGCACCGCCACGATGGTCACCAGCAGCATCACAACATCGGACGGGGCCTTGACGTCCTGCGCCACCTGCTGTCTCTGTGCAACCACCGTGCCACTAGCCGCGATGAGCTCGTCGAAGTCCGCCAGCACCGATGCTTCGCAGCTGAGCGACACGAGCTGCGCGCGCAGGCCAGCTGCAGGGTCATGCGCAGGAGGGGGAGGGTGGTCTCCAGCGCCAGTAGGAACATCAGGAGCTGCAGCACCTCGTGAGAGCTGGCCGCACGCCTCGGCGGCGCGCTTGGCGGCATCCTTCTCCTCGGCATGCATATCGCCATGCTCCGCCTGGAGCTGGGTCACGCGCAAGACCTGCTTGGAGAGGCTGTCCTTGGCCTTATCCAGTGCATTGGCCAGCTTGGCGACCTTGGCCTTGAGGAAGTCATGCTCCTGCTCGGCTTCCTTAAAGGCAGCTGCTGGGTCGCCAGATTTGACCGCCCGCTGCGCCGCGACGCGTGCACGCTGCCGGCTGGGCAACAGCGCCACGAGAGCAGCAAACCGCATATCGTCGAGCGCAAGGAAGGCGTGGACCTGCTCGTCCTCCAGCATCGCGTCGGCCATGACAGCGGCGGCGCCTTTGCCCGCACCCCAGTCAGCCCTTGAACGAAATCCAGAGGCCTCAGGGACGGGCTTGTCGGCGCCACAGCAGTAGCACGTGCGCCGCCATCCGAAATTGTTGGCGAACTTGCATTTCTTGACTGCGCATGTCCATGTCTGCCCGCCCCAATACCGCGCGGCATTGCTGGAACGGGACCTCGGGGGAGCCATGCGCTGTGAGTTGCACAAATGGGCCACCCGCTGGCCAGAATCATTCGGGCCAGCCCCTTGGTTTCAGCCGAGCACGAAGCCGCAGGGAGTCGGTTTCGTACTTGAGCCAGAATGGCTACGGACCCTCCTCCTTTTCCTCCTCCTCCTCCTCGTCCTCGTCCTCCCCCTCCTCTTTTTCGTCCTCCTCCTCCTTTCATTTTCCTGTTTTTCCTCTCCTGTTCCAGTTCACCCCTGAGGCGCGGCGAATGTGCGCGCACAGCGCGCATGCGCGCGTCACGCGAGGGGGGGTGGAGCTCGGCTCCGAGCGCTAGTTTTGCCAGGCGGGCCTCAGATCGGAAGTCCCAATAGGTGCGGCGACCACACCGTCGGGTGAGTCAGTGGAGATTCGGGTGGGCGCACGGGTTTGGGACTTGGGTCGTTTTCCGAAGATCAGCTGCGCTCCTAGGGAAAAGGCAGAGGCGGCGAGTCTTTTCAGGCGGCTCCGAAAAAATCTGGCATTCCGAGAGCTCTCTCAGCCTGCTCTGAAGCCTCACAGGGCTTCTCAGATCTCCAGAGGGCTTTGAGAAGACCCGCCGCCGTCTGAGAAGGCATGCCCCTCAGACGGCGGCGACAGAGGCCTCCCGGGGGAGGCCCAGGCGCCCCAGAGGCGCCCCAGGCGCCTCTGGGGCGGAGGAGGAGGAGGAGGAGGAGGAGGAGGAGGAGGAGGAGGAGGAGGAGGAGGAGGAGGAGGAGGAGGAGGAGGAGGCGCCCCAGGCGCGCCGCCCAGAGGATATTCTGGGCGACGGAGGCCTCCCAAAATCTTGCGGCGACGGCCCGCGCGGTGCACCGCACGGCCTGTCGCCGCGGGCCGGGGCCTCCCAGGCAACCGGGGGTCGGCGTCCACGGGGTTCGGGGCCCGAGGCCTTCACGGATCGATCCATACGCGCACGCGCCCCCTCCCTCTCCCCCTCCCTCCCCCTCCTCCCCCTCCCTCTCCCCCTCCCTCCCTCCCGAGGTGCCGCGGCGGTTGAGACGTTCCACGCTGTTGCGCACGGTTTCGTGACGTCGGCGGGTCTCCAAAGACGGAGGTCGCCGGCCACGAGGGTCAGCCGGCCCCCTCCGATGCCTTTCTGGTGGACCCAGGTTTGAGAGCATCATGGAGTCGACCCCCCATCCCCCCGGGTCTGGGATATGCCGCGCGGCCAGGGTGAGCGACATGATTTTGGCTATCACGGGTTAGCGCGTCCCCAAACGGGGATGCACGCCAAACAATTGACACAAATATGATGATCGAGGAGTCAGGCGTCGCAGTAATTTTATACAAGTCAGGGCCTCCTCATCGACACGGGTGTATCCTCATCGGAGTTGTAGTCGGAACGCATCCCATGATAGGTCATCAGGAACGTTCTCCGGCCATGGCTCACGTTTTCAAACAACAGGGCGGGATGCTGTTTTTTCGACGTTCGGCATATGCGGGACGTTTCCGGCCCTGTGACCGTAGAAAAATGTTCTGGGATGAACATTTGTTCCCAGGGAAGGATTGAGATGTTCGGGGGCCATGTGCTCAAAAAATTCGACGTCATCGGATGTCTCCGTCTGTGTTTACGACGCCCTCCCGGCTCGGACAGGAAGGCGCGTACGCCCGGGGCCCTGGGGCCCCAGGATCGGCCAGGCCAGGATCGGTGCAGGTGCGCACCGTTTACAAGCGAAAAACTTGTTTACACGACGGTCGTTGAAAGAAGGTATTTTCTGGATCCCCAGATCCCAATCTACTGTAGCCGTCTTACTACTTCAAGAGTCAAACGGTTTTCCCTCTCCCCCCTCGTTCAGGGGGCGGGCGGAAGCCTGATCCACTTCCAACGCCTTCCTACCTCATGGTTCTGCCCACAGTTTCCGAACGACGGACAAGCACGCATGTCTGGAGGTCCGCGTGGATTTGGGGTGGTCGCCGCTGCACCCCCGCACCCCGCTCCCCCCTCCCCGGCGCGCCAGCGGCGACGCCAGAGCTCCAGAGGCGCCGCCTGGGGGTGCGGGGCGGAGGGCGGGGGGGGTGCAGCGCCGACTCACGAAATCCGCGCGGACATCCGAAAGTCTCTGACCCGTTTGTTGTGTTGCTTTCTAGAGGGGGGGGAGGCAGGTGGGGTCCTTGGGTCGCTTTGAGGCCCGTGACCCGTCCTTGTCATCCTCTTCCTCTTCCTCTTCCTCCTCCTTCTCCTCTCACCACAGTGTGGTTACCAGCGAATTCATCCTCGTCCTCCTCCTCTCCCTCCGTTGCTCCTCCTTTCTGTCCTCCCGCCTCGCCCTTTCCTCCTCGCCCCCTCATCCACCCCTTTTCTCAGGCGGTACTAGGCGATTTCCAAATAAGTCGTACCAGAGTGCTCCGCAGTGCTCCCAGATAATTCCAGATCGTTTTGGAACGACGCGGCGTCCGATATTCCCTTCGGATTCACTGGCCTGCAGAGATCCCCAACTTACCCTCACGTATGACTGTTTGCCCGTAACATTCCTCGTCTTATCTGCATGTCCTATATCTTTTTCATCCTTTCGCTGATCCCCTCCCGTTGTCCCCCCCTCCCCCTCGCCCATCTCTCTCTCTCTCTCCCTCTCTCTTTCTCATCCCTTCTGCTCTCGATCCTCTCCGCTCCCCTCTCCCATTATCCCTCTCCTCTGCTGCCAGTCACACTCCCTCATCCCCTCATCCCCATCCTCCCCCAGGTGAGGCATGATGAGGAAGCTGAGAAGGAGGAGGTTGCCTGCGTTCACCTATCGCCCCCCCTCCCTACTCGGGGACCAACGGCGAGGGGGCGGGATCCTCCTGTTTACTCCCACCTCCTCACCCTCCTAGTCGCCACTCTGAGCTCAGACTAGCAACAACACGTAATAGAGGCCGCGCGTTGTCTCGTGGGGGTCTTACAGCGTCCATCTGTCCCACCCGCGGCCATACGGGGCGGGGGAGGGGGATTGCCTGCTCACAATTTTGTGAATCAGTCTAGCGAGCATGAAAGAGTGCACTACAGCCAACTGGGAGCAAACGCCAACGAGCGGCTCGAAGACGCCAGCGACCAACTCCACCGGGGGGGCGTGATTCCCTTCGGTGGCGCAAACCGGTCGACCGACCTTGAGACCTTGATGCTTGCAAGAGAATATGGTTGCCCTTGCCCACTAGGCTTTCTAAGTTGTCGAAAGGCAAATGTGTAGCACAAGCTGGTGGAACGACGACCATGCTTGCCTACTGCATTCACACCGCAAGCAAAGGAATCATAACTTGAGGAGCCACCAATGCGATTACGCTTTACTGCTGACATGCACGATCTCCACCTGAATCAACTGCACAGGTACAGGACATGGCTATGCACGGAATAGAGTGAGTGTGCTGCAATGTGTTGAGGCTTCACGATGCCCAGGCGAGTTGGTCGGAGCATTAGGTGGAAGAAAGAGGGGGGCGGCTGTCAACCTGAAGCTCGGGATCAGCCTGAGCAGACCCAGGTGTCAACCATGCAGGCCGTCGCGGAGGAGGCAGGAGGGAGGAGGGAGGCAGGAAGGATGAAGGAGGAAAAGGGAAGGAGCAGGGAGGAAGGAGAGATGAGGGACCTTCACAGTGGCATCGACCGCCTTCCAGCACACCCCTGGCAGGACTTTTCCGAGACTGTGGGCCCGCATCCAGGTTTTTCGCATAGGTCCGTTCTTACGTTTCGTGTCCTATCTGGCACCGCTCCCGTTGCTGATGCTTCGGCCTGCCCTCTGGGTTCATTGCCTCGCCTTGCTCCACGTTGCCTCGTCCACCCCTCCCTCCTCTCTCCTCCGCCTCCTCCGCCTCCTCATTCCCCCCACTCCGCTCCGGTGGTGGTGCTGCCAGTGGCCTCCCACACGAGAACGGCACCTGCCCATTCCATCGTTGCGCGCGCCTCCGCCTCCTGCTTCCCCCCACTCCGCACCGAGGTTGGTGCTGCTAGTGCACCCGGACAAGACCTCGCACCCGAGTGCCAAGGAGGCGCCGCGCGGGCGAGGGCGCGTTGAGCGCGAAAGTCGGCGGCCAGCGGCGCTGGCAGGAAAAGAACGGGAAATAGGGGGCGGATCAGCCACGCGCAGAGGGGATTGGGGGAGGGGTGGAAGGCGTCTTAGAAGCACCCCTGTTTTTTTTAGAAGGCGCGGGCCTTCTCTATAGATGTAAGGCCCGCGCCTTTTGATAAGCAGCCTCCTTCTGAGAAGCCTTCCCCCTCTCCACCAACCCCCTTTGTGCGCGCCGCCATGGGGAGGAAGGAGGGGAGGAGAGGGAGAGGGGGGAAGGGGGAAGGGGATGAGGGAGGGGGTTCCAGGCCACTTCCCAGTGGACTGGGCCACTTCCCGGTGACGTGGGCCACTCTTTGGTGGCGCCAATAAGTGGCCCAGTTCGCTGCCGCATCTGTCGCGAATATGTCGAACGGGATCGCCCCTGAAAGCACAAAAAACAAATTCGAACATCGTAGGTGGCCATTCGGTTTTCGAGAAAGCACGCCGGAAAGTGGCTTTATTTCGTGCGCAAGAAGAATAGTGTGGATTAGAAATATTACAAATCGTATGAATACCAGAAGCAGTAGCAATAGTAGATGCAGTCGAATGCGATGAATACTACGACGGCTACGATCGGTGCTACTACTACGAATATAATTACCACTGCTACTACTACTACTACTACTACTACTGCTACTACTACTACTGCTACTACTACTACTACTACTACTACTACTACTACTACTACTACTTCTACTTCTTCTACAACTACGACTACTACTACTACTACTACTACTACTACACTATTACTACTGCTACTGCTACTACTACTACTACTACTACTACTACTACTACTACTACTACGACTACGACTACGACTACGACTACGACTACGACGACTACTACTACTACTACTACGACTACTACGACCACTACGACATACTACGACTACTACTACTACTACTACTACTACTACTACTACTACTTTGACTACGACTACGACTACTACTAAAATTACTACTACTACTACTACGACTACTACTACTACTGCTACGACTACGACTACTACATCTACTACTACGACTACGACTACTATTACTACTACTACTACTACTACTACTACTACGACTACTACTGCTACTACTACTACTACTACTAGAACTACTACTAGTACTACTGCTGCTACTACGATCATTTTATTACAACGGCTACTACACCAACTACTACTACGACTGCTCCTTCTGCTACGACTACTACTACTACTACTACTACTAAAATTACTACTACTACTACTACTACTACTGGTATGACTACGACGACGACTATTACTTTACTTATTAATAGTAGTACTAGTATCACTATACCTACTAATTTTATTACGTTCACCACTACTACCAGTGCTACTACTACCATTACGATCCTGCCTACTACTACTACTACTACTACCACTACTACTACTACTACTACGATTACTACTACTACGACGACGACTACTAGTACTACAATATCTACTACTACTACTACTACTACCACTACTACTTATTACTACTACTACTACTACTACTACTACTACTACTACTACTACTACTACTACTACTATGGCTGATACTACAAAATATTGTTTTTTCTTCTTCTACTACTACTACTACCAGTACTACTACTAGTACTACTACTAGTACTGTTACTACGAGTACTGCTGTTACCACGGTTACTTCTACGACTAGTAGTATTATTTCTAGTGCTACCATGTTTGGGGTGAGTGCGATTATTAGGAATACTACGACTAAATATCATCATGTTCCAACATAGTACGACACCGCTATTATTAGTACGAGTGCTAGTACTAGTCTGAGTACTACTACGACCACTACTACTACTACTACTACTACTACTACTATTAGTATTCGAATAGGACGACTGATACGATCATTACATGTACCGCTTCTATGACTACTTCGATTACAACTACTACTTTTGCCTTTACTATTATTCTTACTGTTGCTACTACTATTATTACTACTACACTTACGATTACTACGACTACTACTACTACTACTACTACTACTACTACTACCTGCACTACTACTACTACTACTACTACTACTACTACTACTACTACTACTACTACTACTACTACTACCACCACCACCACCACTACTACTACTACTACTACTACTACTACTACTACTACTACGACTACGAGTACTACTACTACTACTACTTCTTCTACGACTACTACTACTACTACTATTTTTCTACTACTTCCACTACCACCTCCACAACCACTAGTTCTACTACTTCTTCTACGACTACTACTACTACTACTACTACTACTACTACTACTACTACTACTACTACTACTACTACTACTACTACTACTACGACTACTACTAGCATTCGTATTCGTATTAGTCGGAGGTTGGGGAATGAGATCGCACTGGAACGGACGCCCCCCACCGGGAAATCGGTTTCGGTTTCGGTTTCGCGTTCGTGTCGTGCGTGCGGGCGAGGCGAAGATGCGCGCGATCCTCCTGTAGCCAGGCTGAATGAAGCAGGAGCGAAAGTCCGTTCCCGTCCCCGGTGGCTGGGGGGTGTCCCAGTTGGGCCGGGCGGTGTCCCGGGTGTCCCGGGTATCAGTAGGAGCGAAAGTCCGTTTCCCGCCCGCCGGTGGCCGGGAGGTGTCCCGATTAGGCGAGGTGGTGTCCGGGGTGTCCAGGGCGTCCCGGCGCTAACGCATGTCGCTAATTTCATAATTCATATGTTTCTGCGCCTGCGGCGGGCTTTCTTACGCAATCCAGCTTATCTTGTCCAATCAATCTTGTCCAATCCAATCCATATTATCTTATCCAACCCATCTTGTCCCACCTTATCTTATCCCACCCGATGCACCCAACACAATCCATCAATTCATTTGTTTCTGCGCCCGTGGCGGGCCAATCCAATCCACGTTATCCTATCCAATCCACTTTTTCCAATCCAACCCATCTTATCTGATCCAATCCATCTTATCCCATCCAATCCAACCCACCCAACCCAGTCCATCAATTCATTTTTGTCTGGCATTTGATCTCAATCCCCTCCGACCTCCTTATCGCCGCAGGGCGGTCGTATGGGTGCTACGACTATTACTACGACCACTACTACCACTACTACTACTACTACTACTACGACTACTACTACTACTACTACTACTACTACTACTACTACTACTACTACTACTACTACTACTACTACTACTACTACTACTACTACTACTACTATTACTTCTATTATTACTACTACTACTACTACTACTACTACTACTTCTTCTACTTCTACTTCTACTACTTCTACTACTACTACTACTACTACTACTACTACTACTACTACTACTACTACTACTACTACTTTTACTACTACTACTACTACTACTACTACTACTACTACTACTGCTACGACTACTACTAGTACTACTATTATTTCGCGCACCACGATTTTTATTAATCGGAGGGTGGGGGGTGAGATCGCAGTGGAACGGAGTCCCCCCACCAGGAAATCGGTTTCGGTTTCGCGTTCGTGTCGTGCGTGCGGGCGAGGCGAAGCTGCGCGTGATCCTCCTGTAGCTAGGCCGAAATAGGAGCGAAAGTCCGTTCCCGTCCGCCGGTGGCTGGGGGGTGTCCCAGTTGGGCCGGGCGGTGTCCCAGGTGTCCCGGGTGTCAGTAGGAGCGAAAGTCCGTTTCCCGTCCGCCGGTGACCGGGAAGTGCCCCAATTGGGCCGGGCGGCGTCCCGGGCGCTCCTGGTGTCCCGAGCGTCCCGGCGCTAACGCATGTCGCTAATTTCATGATTCATGTTTTTCGGCGGTTGCGGCATGCTTTCTTATCCAATCCAGCTTATCTTATCCAATCCAAAATGTCCAACCCAATCCATTGTATCTTATCCAACCCATACTGTCCCATCTTATCTTATCCCACCCAATCCAATCCACCCAACCCAATCCATCAAATCATGTGTTTCTGCGCCTGCGGCGGGCCAATCCAACCACGTTATCTTATCCAATCCACTTTTTTCCCACCCACCCATCTCATCTTACCCAATCCATCTTATCCCATCGAATCCAATCCACCCAACCCATTCTATCAATTCATTGTTGTCGGCGTCCGCGGCGGGCTTGCGTATCTTATCCAGCTGGCGAGAGAGAGAGAGAGACAGAGAGACAGAGAGAGAAAGACAGAAAGAAAGAGATATGAGATCAAGGTGACAGGCCGGAGGTCAATCAGGGCGGGCATTTCATCTCCATCCCCCCCAACCTCCTTATCGCCCGCAGGGCTGTCGTATAGGTACTTATATCGGTATTATTACATGTAGTCTTACACTTGCTACCATTATTGTTACCAACATCGTCATCAAGTCATGCCAAGCAAGAATTTCGCGCCGCATGGCGAGTTCAGGCCTTCCGCGCGAGCTCGGGCGGGAGGGGGGGCACGATCCACGTCAAATAAGACCGCGCGGGCCACTCGCGCGCGTCTGCCGCGCGCGCGCTGAACCCCGTCAAAAAGCTTCATCGCCGACGTGAGGACATCGTCATCGTTATCGGCGGGCGTGATCGACGTCGGCGCCGTCATTGGCCTTGCCACCATCGTCGCCGTCATCGCTGCGTTCATAATCGCGTCTACCGCGGTCGGCGTCGCCATGATATTGCGCCCGCCCAAGTCGCCGACCCGCACTGAGGAGCCCGTTGGGGAGTGCCCAGCGGTCAGCACCACCGCGGCCGCGGCGTCCGCGCCAAATTCGTTGGCCGGCGCGCTCGCGAGCATGCGCGGGCGAGCGCGGCCGCAGAGATGCACCAGCCAACGATAAGCATTCATCGCAGTCGCCGCCGCATGGGCTTTGCAAACCAACTTGCGGGTGGGTGGGTGGTTGGGGCGTTTGCGAAATTTATGAAATGTTTTACGTCGTTTATAAGACCCACTTGCACCACATCGACTGCACCGGCTGTGCAACATATGTTCCGTAAAACGTAG